CAAGTCAAAACATAGTAAGCGGAATAAAGAAAAGAGGAAGCCTGAGAGCGAGGATCGCAGTATGTTTACTATATTTTTGTCACCTCGTAGGCTCTCCACAACAATCAGGAAGTACTGCATCGCTGAGCATTGAGGAAACAAAGTAAGCAACTTCTACACGTTTTATTTGTAGTAAATTGCGTGCTAAATTAGGACTGGCTCCTCTTGATGTTGGGACGGAAAAGAAACCTGACGATGGGACTCCACAGTTTCTTAACAGTGACGAAAACTTTGTACACGTGCCGGCTAAAAATATCAGCGAAATACGCAGGACTGAACAAATTCAAGAAAAACTTAAGACTATGCGCGAAAAAAGGGAACTTATGGAAAAGTTACGCGAGGCCCAGCCGCTTTCTGCCGGTGACGAGGTTAATACCATGTCCTGGGTCGAGAAAATGCGGCTTAAAGAGAAAGAAAGACGTGCCGCAGAGGAAAGAGAAAAACTTCTTTCCGAAATGGATGAAGAATTTGGTGTGTCACAACTCGTACAGGCGAAACTTTCCGCTTCGAATGAGTACGCTTCACGGGATTTAGAAGGACTGAAAGTGGAGCATAAAGCCGATCGTCTTATTGAGAGCGGACCTATCATTTTGACTCTCAAAGACAAGGGTAATTAATTTTTTACATGAATCGGTACTAAATGCGACTGCCGCAACGAGCTAACCTGCAATTCAGCAAATCGACCAGCCAGACATTAACTCGTTTTTGCTTGCCTTCTTTCCGTTTGACTATTTATGAATGCCTTTGCTACTGCGTGTATTAATTTAAATAAGCATAAAATCCACCCAATTTCGTGCCTTGTTTATTTTCCAAATTTCCTCAGTGGTCATCTTTACTATCCTCTTCTCGTTTTAGGCGTTTTGGATGAAGATGCGGACGATGTTCTTGTTAACGTGAACATAATTGACGATGAAAAGGCAGAAAAGAATCGGGAGAACAAGCGCAAGACGGCCGGCCTCGGTGGAATTCTGCAGGACGAAGACGATGATGTCATAATGGGTTTACGCGCCAAGGGCGTTCTGGAAAAGTATGACGCAGAAATCGATGGCCCTAAGAAACAAGAATTTGTTTTGGGATCGGGTGGTTCCTATTCTTCTGAGCACGAGTTAGCTATGCGTAGACTTCAACAAGAACTTCAGTCCTCCGCAGTAAGTCTGCCTGGCTTTCTAGTACAATTACCACCGTTCGAAGACTGTTTTCAGGGCCATTGTTTGGCTATAGACACAAAGCCCTCCATAATTGGGCTGCGTCTTTCTTAGTCGGCTCAGCTAGTTTTATCAACTATAAGGATAGAGAGGGAGCTAGCTTGATGTAACCAAACTTCAAAAAAGGACCAAGAGGTGCCGCAGTATAGTGGTTACTCTGTGCACATCATGGAAGGAAAGATAGCTGCTTGTTAACTGAACGAGTTACCAGTCTGCTTCCTGGTGTCGGCAATTGAACATCGATGGCAAGGAATTTTAAGTATTCTAAAGACACTTTTAGTTTGGAATAGGTCTAGGAAATTTTTATAAACACGAATCAAGCATAGGCTGTGCTGCTTTATTAAGTGGTAGTGGTGGTATTTCACGGCGCATCTTCAGACTTGTGTATCATGCGGGCTGTTTAAATGGCCCTTCCGCAACCCCAGGCAAGATATCCTGGACATAAGTCTCGTTCATGGTGTGCGATGAGCGTCATCCTTATATTGCGGGCACAGTCAGGATTCAACCTTCCCTTATGTCATAGTAAGAGGGATTCGTGTGATGTCCACCCTGCTAGATCGCCAGAGGTACGTCTGGGTGCTTACCCAGGTGCTATACATCTCTCACACTTAAGCCCCTGCACGCACACGAAATATATTTCAGATAGGGGTCTCGGATATTAGATACGTGAAGATCTTTACGAATGTGCCTTTATAACCTGATCTTTAGTTCAACGTAAATCTGAGGTATCGCGTCATGTGGAAACCTAAAAGCCGCCGATTTTGGTTAATCGTCATATACCAAAGTACCTTCAGCTTTAAGCAGTGTACTCGTGGTCTACCAACTTCGCTGTATTTTCTCTTTTGTCGTATTGGTAGCAGGTCCGAGTCAAATCAACTGAATTTCATGAGGTAGTATGACACAGTATTTCGAAAGTTGAAGTACGTGAACATGCTTAGAAGACAGATGGTTAGAATTCTGTTGGAGAAACACGAGAAGATGCCATTAAGTCGAAGATCGAAGATACAGACTATGTTTTCCCAAGTTAACCAAATAAGCTCTGATAGGCAGCACATTCTACTTTTTTGTCATGTAAACCCCCAAGTCTTCGACCTGATTTTGTAAAAGCGTGTTATAAACGTTTATATACCGACAACTCCGCGTCCTCTCATGGGCAGAGATCGCGTCGAGCCGAAGGCTATCTGCCACCAACATCGTGCGAAGTTTCTTTATGCTCTACTTACTTTGGTAATAATTGCGTCAGCATGGGGCTTTTGAAATTATTTGCGAAGATTCCGAGAGGCTGGAACCGCACGATATCCCTAGCTTCCTTCAATGGCCATTTTACGTTACCTGCAGTACCAACAACTTACTCGTACTTGTACAAGCCGGCCTCTGACGACTTAGTCAGACACAACTGTTTATTTTGCTTCACTCGAAGTAACACCACTGGAAACTCTTATCAATTTGAAAAAAAATTCACTCTTTAGTACTAATAATTCAGTTTTTTTTTCTAAAAGTTGTATTCAAGCGCAAGTCTAAATTCTAAACAACTAGCCAGCAACTGTCTGCTTTATGTCTGGATACTTTAATGACGGACTCTATTATGCTTATTTTGATGTATTTTCGCCTTCACTTGCCATGTACAGCATTCAGCCAATGACTATGAAGTGCGTGTTGCGAGCGAATACTTCTCTGCTGCCGAGATGGAACAATTTAGAAAGCGAAAACGCAAGACCAAAGTTCAGCGCCGCAAGCTCACGGCTGACGATCTCATAAGTGCCAGTTTTAATGAACCCGCAGTCAATGGGGCCGGTGGCCGGCGAGATCATGGAAGCCGTCGTCGTGGTGCCCCCACCGCGGAAGAGGAACCGGAGGAGGGTGAAGTGGTCCATGACTCCGGGGCGAATCGCGTTGACCGTGCTGGGAAAACGGAGGAGGAAGAGGACAGGAAACCGTCAACAACAGCGGCCCTAACTACCGACACAGGCCTCAATCCCGCCATCGCAGCTCTGTTGGAGGCACGCACGGTCTCCGAAGACGTTGACGATAGAGGTAAAACCTTTTAAAAATTTAAAAGTAGATT